TCCTAACTTGTGGTGAGTAGAAAGACACTCTGAAGAATTTCATTCTGTAAGACTCTTTTTTTTTTTTTTTTTTTTTTTTTTTTTACTTTATATTTCATCTGTCTGGTTAAGAATATATTCTTAATCATACTTGTCATGGAACTGATATCTTGGCATAACAAATTTTATATATTTCCTAAACCAAAATCAGAATTTTCTTACCATGTTGATTCAAACATTATTTTCCTTCAATTATACCATGTCACAGCATGTAACTGACATGCTTATCACTAATTTAGAAATATTCTTATATAACCATTTTAAACATAATATATTAAAGCACATATTTTCTATAGCATTACTTCTACAAGGTAGGAATCAGTATCATTTTCAAGTATTTGCCACGTACTATGAAAATAATGCATTTCTTTCTTGTTTGAAAACATTTTTCTTTTATATAGCAATATAGTAGCAACATTGTCACCTCTAAAACGTTGTTTAGATTAAAAAATGCAAGGAATCTTCATTCTCAGGTATAAAAATATAGGTATAGAATAGCCACAAGAGCCATTGCAAAAGGTACTAAAGATTAAAATAATAAAATACAAAAGCTATATATTAATAACACGAGAATACAGGGAAGAAAGTGATGTCTAGGTGATCTAAGATACCAGAGTGAAAAGAACCCTGTCTAGTTGAGCAAATGCTGACCTGACATTTTGTCTCCTGCGATATTTCACAAATTTCCATCTGGACACAAGTTCTGCCTTGGCACAGGCATAGGAACCCTTCTGGGAAAGGGAAATCCAGCTAAGCCTCAGGGGTTGCACAAGGCAAAATCTACACATGGCCAGTGGTTTGCATGGAACATTTGCTGATGTCTGAGTTTGTTAGGAGGATAGAGGCAGAAATCTCCCTTAGGCTCAAAGTAATTTTTATTTCCTCAAGGCTGCACAGAACATCCTTTATATATGTCTGAGTCATGGACATTGGTCTTCATCCCCACTGCTCCTCTGTTGGTGTAAGCCATGCTGGGCCTTCCAGTTAACATATCACTGCATGTTACATTTCTCAAACACAGCCACGTGGTCTCTGCTATCCTGCCTCTTGGGATAGAATGAGTTTCAGAAGGTCTCCTTAGCATCTCAGTCTGGCTATCACTGAGTGACATGACCTAGGTCTCTTTGTGCAGACTTCACTAAACCTTTTATGATTACAGGTCCAAAGCCCTTCTCAGTGCACTAGAGTTACCAGCAAACCAGGAGGCAGAAATCTCCCATAGGCTCAAAGTAATTTTTATTTCCTCAAGGCTGCACAGAACATCCTTAATATATGTCTGAGTCATGGACATTGGTCTTCATCCCCACTGCTCCTCTCTTGGTGTAAGCCATGCTGGGCCTTCCAGTTAGCACATCACTGCATGTTACATTTCTCAAACACAGCCATGTGGTCTCTGCTATCCTGCCTCTTGGGATAGAATGAGTTTCAGAAGGTCTCCTTAGCATCTCAGTCTGGCTATCACTGAGTGACATGACCTCAGGTCTCTTTGCGCAGACTTCACTAAATCTTTTATGATTACAGGTCCAAAGCCCTTCTCAGTGCACTAGTGTTACCAGCAAACCAGGCTCGGCTTGCCCTTTCACACACACACACACACACACACACACACACACACACACACACACACACACACACACACAAAAAAAAAAGACTCAAAATTCCAAAAGCTGGTGCAAGGATAGGAAGGTTTATTTAGATAACTGGTGTCCAGGCGATGGCCGGCCTAAAATCATCCTTCCTTCTCATGTCTGTTATGGGTTCATAAAGGGGAAGGGGCGGGAAGATGAGGTAAGGGTTTTTGTACTGCAAGAAAAGGGGGAGGCTTGGGATCAGCAGATGGTCTGAGTCAGAGATCAGGGTCCCATGATGGATTGGGTGTTTCACCTACATTAAGTCTGTAGCTGGTGGACTGGTCAGCTTCAAGCCCTGGATGTTATCTCAGGGTTGGAGTCCTTATCTCCTAGGTCAAGGATAGTAACCTCAGACAAATCAGGGGAAGTAGCATGTTAGGGAAGTGGTAAAATATTAATTTATTAATATTTCCAAATATCATCATTAAAATATACCAAAAACTGCTAAGCTCCAACATGTATTCATTATGTATTGCCACAAATCAGTGTTACTTTTTGGCTGGAATGTTGATAAAATTAAATTGACAGGAGTTAATTCATTCCCCTGTCCCTTCCATCAAGTCTATTTACTCACAGGACCCCTGAACCACCTCCTTCTCCTGATACTTATGACAGGTAAGGCTGCTGCAGCTGATAACACCTTAACAGGTGGTGCCTGGAGTGTGCTTGAGGGTCTCATGGCCCACAGACCCAGCAGCAAACTATTCCCCTGAGTTCTCCTACAACTTCCTCTTTCAGAGACTTAGAAAATCTGCTGGGCTGCTCTCCCAGACAAGCCGCGAATGTGGGCAGCTGGACCATGCCAAGCAGAGAGGTTTGTGTTCGGAGTTGTATCACTGTGGGTGGAGTTTTTGTACCTTGCATGCAGTAATATACTCCAACGTCCTCAGCCTCCACCCTGCTGATTTTAAGTGTGAAATCTGTCCCTGATCCACTACCAGTGAACCTATCTGAGACCCCAGAAAACCTGTTGGAAACCTTATAGATCAGGAGCTTTGGAGACTGGCCTGGTTTCTGCAGGTACCAATTCAAATAGGTATTTCCATCACTATGTAGGAGGCTCTGACTAGCCGTACAAGAGATGGAGGCCGGCTCTCCAGGGGTGACAGGCAGGGAGAGGGGAGTCTGCGTCATCACAACATCCCCACTGGATCCTAAAGGAATAATAGAGAAGCACAAAGTAGTAAAGATATTATAGGCATTTTTAATAAATTCCTTCTATTATTTATTTCCAGCTAACTAATTTTTGTGTGATTTTGATTCATATGCTAAAAATTGCCAAATTTCAAAATTTAACAGACAACTGAAAGACATAAAGTCTCTCTAGAAGTCACCTATACCATCTTCCACTCTCTGTGTCATAGTCTTCGCCAGAGCAGAGGTTCTTGCTCCTTCTGGAATCTTTCTCACTCTCATAGATCTAAACATCACATGTCCCATCCTGGAGGACAAGATGTGCACATCTCACATGTGCACAAATCACACATGGGAAGCAATGGTGCCCCAGAGCTCACCCTCCCAACCCATACTCCTTCCTCATCTTTCTTCCGCCCTTACCAGGGATCCAGAGCATCAGCAGCCCCAGGAGCTGAGCAGGGAACCTCATTTTGAGAAGTTGAACTGAGGAGTCCTGATAAGTCAAAGCAAGGTTAGAGCTGAGCTTTTATCTCAGACTTGCAGGGGAATGTCCTCCCTAGGGGGACAATATGCAAAACCCCTGGTGAGTGCAGCAGTGTGAAAAGAGCCAGTAGGAGGGTAGGGGCTTCCCTGGTGAGTAAAGTGACATAAAATTTTCTTTGTGTTTAGAGGAAAATGCCCTGGAGCTCACCCTCCCAACCCATACTCCTTCCTCATCTCTCTTCCGCCCTTACCAGGGATCCAGAGCATCAGCAGCCCCAGGAGCTGAGCAGGGAACCTCATTTTGAGAAGTTGAACTGAGGAGTCCTGATAAGTCAAGGCAAGGTTAGAGCTGAGCTTTTATCTCAGACTTGCAGGGGAATGTCCTCCCTAGGGGGACAATATGCAAATCCCCTGGTGAGTGCAGCAGTGTGAAAAGAGCCAGTAGGAGGGTAGGGGCTTCCCTGGTGAGTAAAGTGACATAAAATTTTCTTTGCTTTTAGAGGAAAACCAATAAAGATAAATCTATGTTACTTAAATGAGATAAATTTGTGTTTCCTTCTGTTTTTTTCTTTTTTTATATATAGTGTGTATATTCACTATGCAGATGAAACTACTGGATATTTCAGGTTCTCCAGATTCTTCCCCAATGCACCTTCCCAGTCAGTAACTGCTCCCCTAAGTCAACCAAGTTAACATCACTCCAACCTCTATCCCAACAGTTTGGTTTTCCTGGACTTGAACCTCATATAAATTGAAGTAAGCACTTTTGTTTCTTTACTTCTAGTTTCTATCTTGTTTCTTTACTATTTTTGATTCCTTCCTGTGGATTTTTTTTAATTTATATTTTCAGTATGAATATTCATGAGATACAAAGCTAATTGTCACCCCCTCATGCCCATTATGTGAGGGCCAGCTTCATATTGCCAGCATACCCATTACCAGAAATTGCATTTTTACCCCGTATGCACCACCCAATTATCCCCAACGTCCTCACCTTCCCCCTTACCTCCCCCCAATCCACTTTGTTGGCCAAGGAATATTCTCCCACTCTGCAAGGGCAATCCACTATTGTGATCTTTCTTTCTTTCCTTCTTTCTCTCTTACCTCCCACATGCAAGTGAGCACATGTGGTATTTATCCCTCTGTGCTTTGCTTATTTCACTCAACATAAGTTTTTACAGGTTCAACCGTGTTGATGCAAATGGGAGTATTTCATTCTTTCTTATGGCAGCATAGTATTCCATGGTGTATGTATATCAAAATTTCCTTATCCACTCATCCATGAATGAATGTTAAGGTTGGTTCCATATCTTGGCTATGGTAAACAGAGCTGTGATGAACCTGAGAGTGCATTTGTCCCTTCAACATGATGATTTCCATTCCTCTGGGTATATACTCAGAAAAGGGATTGATGGATCATATGGAAGATCTATCTGTAATTGTTTCAGAAACCTCCATACTGTTTTCCATGTGGTTGTACTAATTTACAGTCCCACCAACAGTGCAGGAGCATTACCTTCTCTCCACACCC